TTTGGGCGATTATATTTATGAATATGGGGCTGATGGCTATGCGACAGAAGATGCTGCAAAGCTGGGCCGTACTTTACCGTCCGATAATAATAAAGAAATTATTGAGTTAGATGGTTATCGCAAGCGTTATGCGCTGTATCGTCAAGATAAAGACTTACAGGCCGCTCATCAGCGTCATCCTTTTATTGTAATTTGGGATGACCATGAGTTAGCAAATGATACTTGGCGTGAAGGGGCTGAGAATCATACGGAAGAAACTCCAAAAGCAAAGAATGAAGGTAAGTTTTTAGAAAGAAAGCTAGCGGCTTTACAAGCTTATTTTGAATGGATGCCTATCCGTCCTATCGATGATCAGCATACTAAGATTTATCGCCGGTTTGATTTTGGGGGGCTTGTCAATTTAATGATGTTAGATACTCGCATTATTGCCCGTGATGAGCAGTTGGATTATGGCAAGTATATAACAGCAAATGGTTTGGATATTGCAAAATTCCAAGCAGATTTGACTAATCCAATGCGGACCTTAATGGGTGAAACTCAGCGTGAGTGGTTATTAGGTAGTAAAGAGAAAAATATAGTAGGTCTCTTACAAAGTTCAACTGCAACATGGAATGTTGTGGGACAGCAAGTCTTAATGAGTAAAATGTGGATTCCTGCTGAGTTGTTGGCATCGCTGGGGCAAATTACTTCAGGCGGAACATCGCCAGATACGTTAGCTAAAATGAATGCGCAAATTACAGAATTAGTCACATTAAAATTACGATTAGAGCAGGGTGATCCAACTTTAACTGTTCAAGAAAAAGCTCGAGTCACAACTTTAGTTCCATATAACCTTGATGCTTGGGATGGTTACTATGCTGAGCGAGAGTTCCTTTTACACTAAATTGGCAGAGTTTAATAAGAAAATTATTGTTTTGGCAGGCGATACCCATAATGCGTGGACATCTTACTTATATAGCCAAAAGGGTGAATATGTCGGGGTTGAACTGGCGACAAGTTCGGTTTCTTCACCGGGTCTTGAAAAAATATTTAAGTATTCCGCTAGCTCAGTTGCAGCAATTTGAATTTGCCTTTACGACGCTTATCGATGAATTGGCATATTGTAATTTAAATCAGCGGGGTTATTTGATGGTTACACTAGATGATAAGCAGGTGCTGTCGGATTGGATTTTTGTAGATTCAATTAAAAATGCAGAATATAAAGTAGATTCTAGTCGAGGTTATCAATTGGTGTTGGATGCGAATTTAACACCTGAAAAAGATAAGCAAAAAAACTGCTTAAATATATGGGGCGAGAAAGGGATGCTAATAAGTATCCTTTTTTTAGACATAAAAAAACCAGCTTTCGCTGGATTCTTTATGACACCAATTTCTGTACTAGAAAATGGTGCCCGGGGCCGGACTCGAACCGGCACGCTTTGTGGGCGGGGGATTTTAAATCCCCTGTGTCTACCTATTTCACCACCCGGGCTTTACCAAATTTGGAGGCGGAGGTCGGAATCGAACCGGCGTCCACGGAGTTGCAGTCCGCTGCATGACCACTCTGCCACCCCGCCTACATTTGGTGATGCACATATTAGCAACCTTTACAAA